GGGGGGTGTACAATGTCAACAGTAATCAATCAATTAACAACTCAATCCAAAACTAGTTGAGTTTGGTTATATGAATGCGATGTACCCATTTCGCGCTATTTAAGTCTGAAGTAATTTCTAAGTCATCTGTATTTGGGGGTATAGCTTTTCTCAAATGCTGCTACTCTGCCAGGATCTGACATGAATTCATTAGTTAATGTTAAACGTGCTTTTGTTCATACTGTGGCAATTACGGCTCCGGTGCAGAGTCATGAGACTTTGATAGGTCTTTTGCACATTACATCTTCTGTAGGTGAATTTTTCGTGCCCATTTCCCCCTTAGGATATGCATTTCGGGGGTGAGTAAATGAGAATGTATATTTGCAACCATATAATTGGAGCATCTGTTACATCAAGTCCTGTAGCGGCTATAATCGTACTAAATGAATGCTTCAACTACTTTTGACCTGTTGTCCTCGGGTTTTCAATGTTATTAGATGTATAAAACATGTGTTTCTTGGTTGTTATGGTATTTGTGAGAACATTTGGTGTTCTCTTTTTCCCAATAGGTGCAGCCCTTGTGTATTATCCTATTTTCTTTACTCTTTATGTGCAGTTTGTATCCATGGAGAGGAGGTTTCTTAAATGGCAACTACCTGGGAAGAGATTTGAGAGATGGACCGGGATCCACCCTGCGGATAGGAATATCTTATTTCGTGGCTTGGGATTGAGGATGGCACGCAGTGGACTCGCATCCTTTGTGGTTGTAGGTGGGTATCTTTTTGCAATCAATCAGCTGCTCCCTAAGTGAAGGTAACAAAATAACGGAGGAAGTGAGGACTAACCAATGGATGGAATGATGAGCCGTGTTATCAAGCGCACAAAATTTTCTCTAAGCGGCTGTCAAAGAAGCGTCTTTTTCTCTAGGAACAAGAAGCTTGGAGACGACTATTCACACATTAATGTTGGTTATACGTTTGGTGTCTGCATTTCTGGAGGCTCTGTATTCGTCTTCGTACATTCATTCTATTGACCAAATGGCCTTGTTTTTGGCTTCAATATTCAGTCATTTTGTACACAATTTGGCTGTTGAAGATGTTAGTAAATAGCAATAAACAGAAGTGTTGCTTCTCCTATGATTCCAACATTAGTTGGAACTTGAAGTAGGTACTTTTAACCTATGTTGCGGGACCGTTCAAAATGTTGTTGTACCCGTGTTGGATCTTTAAAAAATATAAGTACTACTTTTGGAGGATCCGACACACCTAATGATATTTTTGAAGAGTCGAGTAACATAGCTTTCAACACTTATAATTGTAACAGGAGTAATATAATTACATCATATCATGGCTTCAACAATACCACATCTTAGTATATTTGTACATTTCGTTTGAATATTTCTTAGTACATCTTTAAGGGTGCAAATTAGTAGATGATCTTGTAGTGAGAGAAGGCCTCATTTGCACAATCTGCTCTTCATCAACACCAATTTTCTTGGCAGAAAATCCAGCTTCAAAGAAGCGTTTTACGGCGTCTTCCATATAAGCTTTCCCTTCTCTTACAGTCATTTTCTTGCCTATCTTTTCTGGGTAACTTGTTAGGAGATGATCACCTTTTAGAACCGCCGCGAGTTGCACTAATTCTTGTTGGAATTCACTTATGTTTGCATCTTCATTTGCTTCTGCCTTTCTGATCTTTGTTGGAGTTGGAAGTTTCTCTGTGGAAAAACACAAAGTTAGGTTATATAATGTTGAGGAACCAAGATTTTGTTATAAGACAAAGGCAAAGGTTATATGGAAGGTGCTTTGGAAAGGGCAACCGAGTAAGGAAGCTACTCGGGAGACTGAGTCAGATATGCGGAGCAGCTATTCACTCCTTTTTAACAGTCCCGTCCAGGATAGGCAATCATTAAACGGAATGTGCAATAAATTTTGAACCCCATTGACATTATACGAAGATCTTCTCTTATGTAAGGAGATTCAACAATTTATATATAAGTAAACATATTTGCTTGCACAATATGATATCCTGATGAAGGGGATTCAAGTGAAACCCCTTTTTCGTCCACCTTGTTTTACACAATGGCGGAGCCACCTTATAATAAGGGGTGTCAATTGACATCCCATCGTCCGAAAAATACACTGGATAGGTAGGTAATTTTTATTTATATACATATATACTTTATGTTGATTCCTCTTGATCTTTTCGTATGATTACTTTTACATAATTTGACACCCCTTAATGAAAATTCTAGCTCCGTTACTGATTTCATAATCGATGATTGGTGATAAGCACCTGCCCCTCTTCCCTCCTCTCAACTTAAAGTATCATACTTTGTCCGCAATAAGGTTCGAACATGTGACGTATACTTAATATACACATGATGTGCTGGCAATATACTACATCCGCCACTGAATTAAATACTTCACTTGTACAAAAACTATCTTGTTATGTTTTTTTTGTTGAAATTAAATGTCAAAGAAATATAAAGTATTTGAAGTTGAGATGACTAACCAGGGCAATCAGTTCTGGGCTCCTTCCTAATTTGTAGAATGTGTTCAAAAGTGCCAGCCCATTCATCCCTTTTAGTAAGAAAAGGTGATGGCAAATCAAATATCTTCTTCACCGTCGCCGGAATCGATGAATGTTCATATTCCGACGTCGGAAACGGCGATCCATTAGGATCATGAACAACTGCAAAACAAAATCAAAAATAGATAATGTCATTTCAATATTCAATAAATTGCTTAGTTTTGTTTCTAATAACACAAGTTTTTACTATTGTTAAAATGTCGAATATACTTGTTCCGTTTTGATATTATAAATTCCACCTCCCTTAATCAAGTTTAAATGTTTGGATGAAAGTCGGGTAATAGGGGAGCGTGATGTCAAAACGGAACAAGTACAAATGTCATTTGACTATTCAGCCATATGAAAATTACAAGTAACTAATGAATATGCAAATCATACCCCCCTCCTCATCAATACAAATCGTAAACTTTATGCTAATGACAAGAAAAAGGAAGAAAAGGTAGAAATTATAACTCCCTTCAATGGAAATCATAAGCCTAGAGGAAAAAAACTAGTATTACCCTATACATATACAGACTACGTATATAAAATTTACACTAAATGCAAAAGTCAACCCTTTCAAGTAATAAAATCTTATGTATTTTTCATAAAAGAGTGTACTAGATTGAAAAAGTCATAATTAAAGAGGAGTAAACTAACGATTTCAAAGGAATAGTCTTTATGATTATTATTTTTATTACCATTTATTACTACGAAAAAAAGTGATTTTATTATTATCTATAGTAAAACTTTTTCTTGTTGTATTCAGAGTCGTTTTAATAAGGTAAAGAAAGAAAAGAATAATATAGCACACGCCAAAGTAACTCAATACTTGGCAGAATTTATATATTGCTACCATCATAATAAATGTAATAGATCTTAAGATCTAGAAATCTATATATTGTCAAACTCACATATAGTACATATAAGAATTGTGTATATATTGTTAGGTTATAGCAACGTAAATTAATAAATTATGACATTAAAAGAAATTGATTGGACAAGAAAATTAAGATGATTTAAAAATAAATAAAAAGATTATTCGAGGCAAAAAAGGAGTGTCCTTCTCGTGTGAAAAAGACCACTTTTGCACATATCTTTTTCAAACAAATTCAGTAAACTCATCTGTATATTCACATGTTACATCATATAAAAGTGGGATGGATGGGCAGCAATTAGTTTAGATTTAAAAGCAATTCACACCGTTAATAAAAGTTGTTGTGAAATGAGGGATCCAACAAGTGAGATGTGACTTGTTGACACATAGATAAGCATTCACTTGTCAACAACAAATTCAATTATTAAGTATAAATCGTGTTCGAGTCAATTTGTATGTCCCTCCATTAATTTCACAAAATATTTGCTACCAACACAAGTATTGTGAAACTCTGTCAGTCAAAGCTTAGACAAATGAGAAGAAATCATTTAGCGTTTTTGTCTTCGTTGGGCCTCGAATATGCGATCTCGTGGTTCTTAACCCACTTCATTGACCACTAGATCATACTCTTAAGTACGTTAGAGAATAATTTTTATATATCAGTAGGGGCGAAGTCACATGTCTTAAAAGGTGGTCAATTGACTATTATTCGTCATTGCGTATATAGGTAAAATATTAGGTTTTGAAGGCATATAATATATTTTGAACACCCTTTGTCTGAGAAATTTTTTTAATTCTTTCAAGTTTGAACACCCTTAAAAAAAATTCTTGACTTCATATATATATCGGGTCTTTCAAAAATTAACTAAAGCTAACAACCTATAAAAGGTGGAATCAATAACTTAAAATAAGTAGGTTAAAGGTGAAAATGCAATTATTATATTAAAAAGTTTCGTACTGTATATTAATTCTTCAATTATTCAAGGTACTTACATGATAGATGCAAATGGGAACTAAGTGACTTCAAATGTCATGCAATTCGGCGGTATTATGCACTTTTGACCAATTATTCTCTTTTTTAGTGGAAATTATTCGATCTAATTGTCGTCTGTTTTAGTGCTTATATTTTATTTGAAGCAATGAGATCTAAAAGTTCAAAATTATTTACTCTCATTTTTTGCATTAGAATTTTAAAAGAAAGCATTCAGAATTAGTTTTATAAACAATAAACCCACCCTTTAAAAGGATTCAAAAGTCAAAACAATTCTTAAGTCGGCAGTACTTGAAATCACTATAAATTATATTTGAATCTAGTGCATGCGACAATTATTTTAATTTATTATACTTAAGTGATAAATGTTATTAAAAAAATACATATCATGCGCTTATTTTTTTTTTTTTCTAGATAATATACTCCCTTAGCGAATCTAGCTCAATATCTATCAATTAAGCTAAACAGAGTAGCAAAGTGAAATTGGTTTACAACATTTTTACTATTTGGGTGTCAAACTATTTGTCTTTCACAAGATTTATTTTCAAAGAATTTTAAGAATGAAAATTATGATATATATCTTTATGTAATTTTTTTAGTTTAGTTTGACTCAACATAAATTTTAAGGACATAATAAAAATTTTGAACCTTATGATCTTACACTAAAGGTATGTATACCGGAAATTACTCTTTGAGTATGTAATATTAACCATATGTGTCATGTCATTCCTATAAGAGAATGTTATTAAGAATATAACAAAAATATTGAAATTAAAAATTTACTAGATGATGTTAATTTTTTTAATAGTTTACAAGTGAAAGTAAGACTCATAAATTAAAAGTAAGAGAGTATCTTATTTAAAAAACGGATTCTCATAAAAAATTAAATCCATCAATCTATGTTCTTTGAATCCTATAATTTTCTTCAGATTTAACTTATATACACAGACAACTAAAATAATATTTACATTATCCGTGTAATTTAACATTTCAAACATGTTATTTGTGTTTTTTGCTTTTTTACAAATTTCACTTATTATGAATACAATTATTTGTTGTTATCTTCTAATTCTTTTAAATTGTCAGTGCGTAAAAATTAGATGAATATATAGGAACAAGTTAAAGGTGCTCATACCTGTGCCCTTTTCAATCCAAGGAGAGATCATAATTGTAGGAACCCTAACACCCAATCTATCAAACTTGAAATCAAACGGTTCTCCTATGATTTCATCAGGGTTAGGGACCCCACTGACAGGTGTAGGGACGTGATCAAAGAACCCTCCGTGCTCGTCGTACGTGATCACGAGAAGGGTTTGGTTCCACTGTGGGCTCGCCCTTAGGGTTTCGTACACCTCCTTCATAAACATCTGTCCTTGATATACATCATGCGATGGATGATCATCGTTCGCTGGCTGTAGCTTTGAATCCATGTACCTCTGCTCCACCACAACATACCCTAGTATTACGAGTGTCAAATTTACTTTATACAAGTTTAAATTCTATTCGCTAATGCTATATATATATAATTATTCCTGATCATCTTGCGCGCATATCAATTAATTTACGGAACATCTGATATTTTCTACTAGCAAAAGTATCAGATAACTTTATATATCAAGTAATCAACAGATGAAAAATATTATTAAGAAATTGTGAATTCCTTTAGATAATTTTGTTTTTATTTATTCAGTTTCTCTCTATAAAGAAAAGTAAAGTTTCTTTTAATTTGATTAGATTACTAAACAAATTCTTAAAAAAATAAAAAATAAATGACAAAATGATTTTAAATTTTTTTGTTTAAAAAAAAAAAAGTTTCAGTCAGGTAAGTTGAGTTATGAATTTTGTTTAACCCAAGTTAGTTCAAACCATTTGATTAAAAATAGAATTGAAAGTAAATTAATTTCGAGGTTAAATTTGATATAAGTTTATCCCAAGTTTGGTTGGAATAAAATTGCGGTACAATTATTAATTATCCCAAAATTATAGTATTGGAGGGTGGGATAACAATCCCGAAATAACTAATCTTCGAATAATTAATTCTTGGATAACTTGTTTCCGAAACGAAACTTAATTGGTTAAACCTGCTTTTAAAAACTCAAAAATTTAAACATAAACCGTAAATTTGACATGATCAATACCTGGCAACTTTCCTGATTTAGCATCATTTTTGAAGGTGAGATCATAGGGATGAAACTTCCCAATGTACTTGAGCTTACGCAAATTCCGGTAGAATAGAGTCGCCGGAATATTCTGGTAGTATATTCCGAAGTTAATTCCGGCATCGTCAAGGTTCTCGAAGATTGTTCTCTGCGGATAACCTTTGGCTAACAGCGACGCATTATTTGAGGTGGCGCCGTGAGATGTGGCGGAGTGAACGTAGAGCCGGTTCGGTTGAGTTGACGCCGGCACCGACGCGAACCACCGGTCGAACACCGCAAATTCCGATACAAGGGTCTTATAGGCCGCCACCTGAACAATAACTAATCTATTTAGGTTAAATTATGTTTTAACTTAAAAAAAACAAAAAAACTTACCCATACCATTAATTGTTAACCTGAATCAAATAAATAATATGTTAAAAGAGATTAAATTTCACTAATAGTGTGAAAATTTTATTACATTGATAATAATCATAATATATTTAACCTTAATTAGTTGTAGATTTAAAAATTATATGCTGACTGCATACAAGTGTTCTACACAATCAATTTAATTTAACGGTTATAACAGAAATTTGGAAGTATAGTTGAAGTGGACTCAGTAGTAAGAATGGAAGATAAAAGTATTCAAGTGGACTCACTAGTAAGAATAGAAGTTATATAT